AACTGAGCAAGCTTCCTTGAAGGGAATGTTACGGTGTAATGCCAAAGTTGATTTTTTCCTACCATAGAGCTACCTAGATTAACCTGAAATTCTGGCAACCTCCAGTCAGTCATGCCAGAATATAACGACCTTGGTGTCCTCTAACTGAAGCCAGGAAAATATTAAAAAACAGCATTGGACGTTCTTTGGATTCTTGAGTATGGAACACCTCCTATTACCGCCATAAAACAGGACTAAAACCTGTAGGGCTTGTTATTTAAACAAGGTTCAAACCGTGGTTTTACCTAACCAAAGGTCTTTTAGGTATTCTCTATTGAGGGTTGATTTAATTAGACAAATGTTCTTCGACTGTTTTAGTTTGCGGCCGTCTACACACTGTTCACAATTTAAATGTTCAGATAAAAAGTTCGGCTAAAATGAAGATGGTTTCAAACGCGGTTCTGTTTAGCAACGGATAAAATTTGTTTAAATCCGCCCGAAGTGTTTCATATCAGGGAAGCACTATGTTCCATGCGAGCTGTGTGCATGAACTTGTAGTAAACTCTCGCTTTAGAAATAATCAGGGTGGTCTCTGAGAATATTAAATGTCACCTTTTCCCTTGGAATATTCCTCAGACCACAATTATTGGAACATGGAACCGGAACCTTTTGACAGACATTATCATGTTGCTGTAGAAAATCGAACAGAAGTTTTTTTAGCTACAGTACATCTAAAATCCATCCTTACTTATTAAAATGATGACTAACACAAACAAGCTGTGGTACAAACGAAATTAATCGATGAAAATTCTCAAAGTTTATCGGTTAGGGATCAAAGTTTAAGAATCCAAATATCTGAGCCAAACTTTCCATCTTAAAATTTTTCTCATTTACAAGTTCACCTCGACTTACGAACCAAACAAAATCTTGCCTTGTAAAGATTCATGGGAACACATCACCGAAGTTCTAATACTGAAAAGCTAAAATGTTTTGGATGCTGCCCTTTTAGGGATAAAGAATAGATTAAAGTTAACTAACCTGCTTGTCCTTCATGATGAATGATTCTTGACAATATTCACAACTGACTTTCCTCCAGACACATTCCTTCGTCTTGTGATTGTCCATATCTCGCCTGACGACCTTCTCTTTACATTCTGTATTTGGGCACTCCACAACTTCGAACGGGCATTCTGACTGATGTTTCTTAAATCAGAATTTATCGGTAATAAACTGCAATTTAATCACGCATAAATCTGGCACGACTCACGACATACAACAGGCTAAAGGAGACTGGGAAGACATAATTGAGAGTAAAAAGATCGGTCAACTGACGGTTGAGGGACATTTGTAGGATCTAAGAAAATAAATATGAAATATGTGTGATCTGTTGATAAAAATGATAGGTCTAAAGTTATTAATATGTAAAAAGTAAATGTATGCTAAATTAAGCAGCTATCAAAGGATATCAGACGAGAAGAAGTTCTGACCTGCTGCCTCAAATTGCCAACAATGACACTGCAGATTGCAAATACAAAAACTACACCGCTGTCCAGTTCAGAGAGTGACAACTGTACAAGAAACTGTCGAGTCGAACCCTGTTAGTTGCCCTTATCTACTTCGTATAACGTCTTTAGTTATCTCATTGCCTTTGTGATAAAGAGTAGCAGGAATAAGTACCTTGCTTGCTTATTATTTACGAGACAAATTGTTTGAGAGGTTTCTAAAAAAATATGCCATTAACCGAAAATGATGTGATGGAGAAGGCCCTGAATGTGGATATGACATACGCATAGATATTTTTAATATTAAAATACCTGCACAGCGCGAAGTTCTCCTTTCCAAGGACACCCGACGTGAGAACATTTTACTGTCAGATTTAGAATTTCGCGATGGCAAGCGACATCCAGAAAAATCTGACAACACAGACACAGACATTATTAGTCAAGGTCAAAACATTCTAATCAGGTATCAGGTTACACCGATGTCAAGATAATTATTCTCCATTACCATCTTAACACACTTCCATAACGACACGAAGAGAGAAAGAGTTCTAAGTCGAGAAAAAAGGAAAAAGTAAGGAATGCCGTCAGTTTTAGCTTGTAGTAAAAAAAAACAAAAAAAAGAACAGGCATTATTTAAATGGCTAGCAGGCTGTGGTAAAATAAAATTATAGTGCAGTATCGCAAGGTGGGTTCATAAGTCATCGGTGATCACAAAATTCTCTGGCTTCTAAGCAAGGTTCTCAGGTTCAATTTTTTATGGCCGGCGGCTTCTTTCCTATTCAGACCTAGGGTCCATATGCTGTATACTCAAACAAACGGCATTTCTCACGGGGACCCCTGATTAATCACAGACAACAGTGACTGGAAGATAATTAAGCGATGGAACGCGCTTTCAATCGTTTTACCGGCGTATAACCCACGTAGGATGTTCGCAGAACCCGAGAAACGTTTGTCAATCCCTCGCATCCGCCACCTTGTAATCTACAAAATTTTTTCGTGTTCTCCAGTCTCCCAACATCCCGATTAAGTTGTTAAGCTGGTTGACTCAAACAAAAATGAAATAAAATTCAATTTTCTATGGGTTTACTGTTGAATTAAAGAATGAGTTTTGGACCAATAAGGACGCTCGCAGTATTTATTTGATAAAGAAACAAACATGCGCACTGAACATCCAAAAGTAACTGAAGGATCCTACTGTAGTTCCAAACAAATTTCCACGTTTATGACAATCGAAAGAGGTGTTCTACCCCTGCATCTCACATGTTTTGCCTTGATTCATTTTTCAATAAAGGCCACCCATCTGACAGAGAATGGGTTTCGAGTTGTGAGTTTAATGCCAAAGGATCTATTAACGGTAAGAACAGCTTGTAATCATTAATTAGCGTGATCCAAGAGTAACAAGAAATGCGCTTTTACTACCTTGTCACGCGAAAGAGGCTCTCTGTCTAGCGGACATTTTGAAGAATGGCTCCTGAAGGTATTAAACAAATTACAAAAGTTCAGAAAATAAATAAAATCTTTAGAAATTTCTCATCGTATTCATGAGAAGACACAAGTGATTTGCACTGCAAGTATTAAGCCCGCTGGACTCGTCTCTTTCGGGTGTGATAATCTCGTAGTTAATCTCTTTTAATCTCATTAATATGTCATGGGCCGACTAACTCAAGTTATCAACACTCTCGAGTTAGCACCTGGATAATGTGACTATTTCAATATTCGAATGTCATGGTTTTTGCCTACCAATCTTTTCTTTGCACATTCGTAATACAAACGCGTGATTCA